GAAATTAATGATATAAGTACGTTCAGAAAATTAAAATGAGCAACGTGTCTGAAGTATGCTTTTCGAGAATTGTTGCCACCATCACGTGCCATGTAAGGATGAGTGTCTCCACTTGTAGAAACTGGGTATGACCTTAGTTTGCTTGGCCTGTCATTGGTTTGGCCGAAATTGCAGTTTTCATATTCGGTCCCTTCGAAAAAACCAACAAGATTGGAACTTATTTTGGTCAATTTACGGCTAGATAGACCCCTAATTGTTCTGATACCAGATGTTGAGCGAAAAAGAAGGCCACCAGAGCTCAGTTTCTCCAATATTCGACACTACTATGAAATCAACCCAAAATCCCTCAAACCACCTTTTCACTCACGATTGCTCCTTGTTCATCCACTTAGGATGTATAATGAAGATATAATCACAAATAACCACAAAGGCAGTGAAGTAGACAGTAGGCAGAAATCACAAAGAGAGCAGCCCGTTTTCACTTGCAAGGAAAAGAAAGATAGTGAAATCATATGACCAAGAGACGAGGCAACCCAAGATATATAGGTTTCAATTAGGGTATAATGATGGGTCAAGTCCAATATGGAGATAAGTGGGTTACCCACTATTAGCCGTCCAAGTAAGTAAAATGGGCCTGAGTAGTATTAATTAAAGGGATAACCACATATCTACTATATTATATAAACATGTTTCACATTTAACAAAGTCCCTTAAAACTTTCATAATTCAGGTGATAATTGAAAATATTAAATATATAAAAATATAATGTTATATACGTTAAATTTGGATTAAAAACTTATATTCTTCTACAAATTACTAATATACCATAATTAAAGACATTTTTTATTTTCCAACCCTAATCAAGCGAGATTTTCTCTCTCTACAAAATGGGTTCCACAAAAACTCTCTCCCTAAACAACAGATTCACCAAAAACTCTCCAAAATATCACGAAAATTTCGCTGGCATTCTCTGCAATCGATCAATAACGTTGATATGCTGCTAATTTTCATTTAATTGGAGAAAGTCGAAGTTTGAATATGGAAGAATTCAATTTGCCCAAAGCAGAAATTGAAGTTTTTTTAATCTAACTTTGAAGGTAAGCATATAATTACTTCGTATAACTTATGATTTTGAAGAAACAGGTGTTTTCGAAGCTATTGAAACATTTATCCAAACATAATTAGAGATTTCACGCCGTTAAGAATAAACTATATTTTGCCCTGTGTGTGACGTGTGTTTTTTCATTAACCATTGGTAGTATTCAATTTTTGTTTTTCAATTTACAGTCATGAATGTGTTGATCAATGACTGTTTATGTGATTCAATCACATTGGTGCATATTTCTGTTAATTGTGACTAGTTGTGACCACTGAATTAAATAGATTGTGACATATATGTTAAATGTCTTAACAGTCCATAGGTAGAATTAGTTTATTCTGTGATTAATGTCATTGCATTGAAAATTGATTCTCTGCGACAGTAAATTTGTTGATCGTATGTGAATTTCTTTACATTAAATAACTTCTATGACCTATATTGATATATCTGTGACTTCTTCATCTGTGACATGTATTCATCAATGTCATTGCATCTGATCGTTTCCTGATTTTAGTGAATGAAGTGTGACATGCTGTTATTTGTTTGTGATCAGGGATGACAATTTTGGACGTTTGCCTGTTATATGGAGGTCACACATCACTTATACTAGTGAATAATACGTGCACGTATGATGAGTTGGTTAACCTTGTTATTTCAGAATTGGGGCTTAATCATGCAGAAGTAGGTGTGAGATTAACATATTCTTTGGATTCTAGTTTACCTCTAGTTCGGATACTAAGTAATAATAATGTCTTAACGTATTTGAGGCTAAGATCTTTGGATGGCATTGTATCGAACTATCCTATTACAGTTGATGTTATCACTATAGACTCATGGCAGTCAACAGGTGCATTGCAATGCCCAGAGTCATCAATTACTACCTTTGAGTCATCGGCTAATGTGTTTTCTTTACAACAAATAGCTCAGGATATATGTGATTCAGTTACTACAATTGAGAACGGAAACATTGAAGAAGATGTGACATTGATATCTCAAGCAAATGTTAGAGAAGTAGTGGAGGGAAATGTTTTCCGCAATAAGGAAGTACTGAAAATGAGTTTGGCCCTCTATGCCATACAAAACAAATTTGAATATAAAGTGTTGAGATCAGACAAAAAAGAGTATGTAATAAAGTGTTCCCAAGATGATTGCAAGTGGATATTTAGATCTTCACGCTTGGGAGAAACGAAAATGTTTAAGATCAGGGAAATCTATAATGGTCTCAATGGTGTCAAACTACATTAGGTACAAATACACTTCCTCACATACAATATACACTCCTAATGATATCTCAAATGACATGTTGCACAAATATGGAGTATCGGTAAATTATATGAAGGCATGAAGGTCACGTGAGCAGACATTAAAATTGATTAGAGGTGATCCAACAATATCGTTTCAGTTGCTACCTTCTTATTTTTTTATGTTACAACAGATGAACATAGGGACAGTTACACGAATAGAAACTGATCATTTAGATAGATTTAAATATTATTTTATGGCTTTGGGTGCATCGATTGCTAGTTGGAAATATTGTAGGCCAGTCATTGTTGTTGATGGTACATATTTAAATGGTCACTACGGCGGTACACTCTTTACAGCTTGTACGCAAGATGCAAACAATAATATCTTTATACTAGCTTTTGGGATTGGGGAGAATGAAAACGATAAGTCCTGGAGATGGTTTCTTGAGATGTTGAAGAGGGCGTATGGATCTAGAGATGGATTATGTATAGTATCTGATAGACACAATAGCATAAGAAATGCTATTGAATTTGTATATCCAGAGGCAATGCATGGGATCTGTTCATACCATTTGCTGAAAAATTTGAAGTCACATTATGCAAAATCAGGTCACAATGTCACATATGCATTCAATTCTGTTGTAAGAGATTATACAATGGATGAATTTGAATACCAAATGCAGCAATTGGACTCAATAAATGAAGATATCAGAGGATATTTGGTATGTGATTGTCTGAAGCATATGTTATATGACTTCCTGTCACTTTTTTGTGATGCTATGAAATTTTTATGAATATCTGTGATCACGTATGTTTAATGTACAAACTACATTTCATTTTTTATTACATGAAATTGAAACATAATTATGAATGAAATATACAATGCATATTTAGCATGTGGTCTCATTTATAATTGAAAACATAATATAGTTTTATGAATGTGTCCATTTGTGACCTGTTCTGTGATAATACTGACTATCTGTGAACTTTTTAGAGTTAACTGTGACCATATGTGACTTGTTACTTGAATCTATTATCTAATAACTAAAATTATTTTGTAGTTGGATGTTGGATATGAAAAATGGTCAAGATTGCACATGCCAACCAATAGATACTCTACTTTGACATCAAACATAGTATAATCTGTTAACGCAGTCACAAAGACGGCAAAAAATTACCCCGTTAAAGCACTTCTAGAATCATTGAGGCAAATGGTCCAATCTTGGTTTTGGAAAAATAAAGATGACGTGCATGGCACTTTCACAAAGCTTGCAACAAAATATGAGAAATTGTTAAGGGAAATGAGCAATGATGTGAGAAATCTAAAGATAAAAACAAAAAAACTATGTTTATTATGTTGATCACAAGTATAACTTTAAATATTTTTTATTTTTAGGTTTTACCTGCAAATCACACTTTGTTTGAAGTGAGGAACAATTCTTCATCATACATGATTGATATAACTCTACATACATGTAGTTGTAGAATGTTTCAAGTGGATCAACTTCCCTATCCACATGCACTGACAGTAATAGCAACATTAAAGCTGAATGTATATGACTTTTGCTCTATGTATTACACAATATATGCATATCTAAATACCTACAAAGAGACTGTCTTTCCTGTAGGTAATAAATTAGAATGAAATTTTCCAGAAGATGTAAGTAATAGAGTTGTTTTTGCTCCAAACCAAAAGAGAAGCTCTGGACGGCCTACTGAGAAGAGAAAGAAGCCAGCATATGAAAGATCACAAGTTGTGATATGTGAAAGATGCGGTGAATTCAGGCACAATCGTCAAACATGCAGGAACTTGGTGCCGCTTAACCAGAATGACAAAAAATTGAAAATAAAGAAAGATCCAAAGAAATTCAAGTAGCTAAGCATAATTTTTTTACACAATGATATTCTTTGTAATTGCAAATTGTTTCATTTTATTGCCGAATAACGTATTTTTTGGATTATACGAGTTGATAGATTTATGCATTGAGCTTTCATTATATCTCACGATGTCACTTATTTCTGGAAAAGGGCTGTTTAAATAAACATTGATTGTAACTCTGTTTTTGATTATTGTACCGTCTATGACCATTTCAAGCATAAAATAAGCTCTTTTTTTTTTGTTTAACTTGTGTGTTCAAACTAAATCTGAATGTCATCTTCCATTAGATGGGGACCAATTCTATGCTTACTTCTTTTGTAAGAGTGTCAATGATAAATGTTAAGAATTTGTGACCATTTGTGACCTGTTCATATGTAACAAGTTAACCAAAACTATTCGTGACCATCTGTGACTTATAGTTATATAAGAAAGTACTCATATGTGACCACTTGTGATCTATTCAAGTCATGTAAATTAACCAACTGTTGCTATTTGTGACGATTTGTGACTTGCGGTTATATAACACATTACTCGCATGTGACTATTTGTAACATGTTTAGACTGTGCAGTATTCTCACGTGACCTGTTCAGACCGTGCGAATATAGACTTTTACATCCATAAAAAACATAGATGATATAAACAAAATCATTCACATAAACACCAATACTTTCACCTTGCACCAATTGACAAAAACAAATTCAAATTCAATTCCAGAACATATTACAAAGATAACATCTATCAACTACATCATAAAAATATCTGTTTATCTAATTTTGAACAGCTATCAATCTAATCCATCATGAAAACAATGCCATCAACAGGAGTTCATTCATCTGACTTTGAACTTTCTTTCCAATCTGCTTCAGTTGTTTGTTTTTGAACAGCAACGCTGCAATTTCAAGTCTAGCATTTCCAGCATCAAATGACATTGGCATATTCCCAAGATCATTGTGCAACAAATATTGTGCATACTTTATCACAAAAACCCCACAATCATGCCTGTAATATTTAAAAAAGACAAACCATAAGTAATTATTAAATGTTGATGGAAAATGATAAAACTTGCAATGCCTATAACAAAACTTACCCATTTTGTTGTTGGGGTAAACCACGGACAATATTAACATGCAGTTCCCCAAATTTGTCACCAATACTATCACTAGTTTCCTTCCATAGCCCGACAAATTTTAACAGGTGTGTAAGAATCTTCACAAGCGATAAAACCCCTTTACGAACCTTGTTGTCCTTGTATGATTTGTTGCTTGAATTATATATGTAAAGGACATGGTTAGTAATATCAAGTTGCCCTAACATCCAATGAGCATGATTTGTGGGCATAATGGGCATCAACACAGATTCAACTTCTCTCCAAGCAATATTAAATGATAATCGTTCACCATTGATGGTTTTGATTAGCTCATCCTTCATCTCAACAATGCTTAGGTCTTGAATAAATTTGGAATATGTCGACTTGATTGACATATCAAATATCCAGTCTGTAGTGGTAGCTTTCATCTTCACACCTTCACCGAACTTAGCAAGTTGTCTTATGTAAAGAAAGTATGCATCCAAGTGCTGTAATAAGAAAGAATATACATAAGTAATACAAAACTACTATGCATATGTGGAAAATGGCGAAAAAATTGTACCGTGCTGTTCAATGATGAATTAGAATCAATCAACGTATGCCACCAAGTTTTATAACGAACAGTGACAGCGCCACATACAAATTGATGACTTATCACGTTATCTGCATCGTTAAACTTTACCCTGTGCACACACATATGCCCTCATCAAACAAAGAATAAGATTGTGACCAATTTATTTCTGTCAGTGACCAGAAATGCTGTAGTCAGAAAAAAAAATGGAAGGTCACAATTCACTAAAAACACTTAAAATCTACATTTAATTTACTTGTTCTTGGGCTTGTATTCTCTGTTAAACCAATTCTTAAATGAACTCAGATCTGTGCTATCAACTCCTTTCGAATAATTTTGGAACACAACATTTACAATGTTAGATTTTGATCCAGTAGCAACATGACGTGGATCGACCTTAACAAAATGTGACTGCAGAGTTTTCGATGGCTTTTGTGCTCTCTTCACAGGTAGTCCAGATGATGGTGGTGCAAGTGTATCTTCCTAAATAAAAAACATAAAAACAACATTTCTTAAATTAGTGTATGACAATAAATCTGAATTTATAATATGAAAACACTAAATGTTTCATTAAACTGACATCTTTGGAATGAAGTTCAGTAGACTCCAACATGCGTGCAATAGCCTCATCAACCTGATCCTGCACTTCTTTACTCGCAAAAAATGTATCATCAGAGTTTTTAGGTGTCTTTGAGGAGCCAACTCCTAGATCAAATGAAGGATATTCAAGAACATAGCCATCATGAACATGTGAAAACTCAGGTGCCATGTGACCCTTTTCCACTTTTTTAGCCATGTCATCACCTTTTTGCTCGGGTTCTATGTGAACATCGTCACTTTTTTCAGCAACATCATCACCTTTTGGCTCAGCTTCCATGTGACCCTTGCCCTTTTTGTCAACATCATCATCATCTTTCGACACTTGTTCCGTCAAAACATCTTTACCACTCAACTTCTTATGAAGTTCATCCATCACTGAAGATAAAATGTCAGAAACAGATTCAACAAAATTTTTAAGAGACAACTTGATGTCACTCAAGCTATCTTTCAACACATTATGACTCTAAATGACAACATTGAGCTTTAAAGAATTGTTTGATTAACGCATGTTTACATTCATCTTAGATAGTTCTGACTTCATCGACATAAGCTCCTCTTTCAACCCCTTATTCTCCGCTTGGAGCTTAGTTATTTCCTTATCAATCA